CGACGGGACACCGGCGGGACACCGGCGGGACACCGCGCGGCTCTGGACGCCGGAAAGAAGACTTTTGGTCCGGCCGCGCATCAGCCACAGCGGGACACCGGCGGGACACCGCGCGGCACCGGTTGCCGGAAGGGAAACTTTTGGTCCGGCCGCGCCGCAGCCACAGGAGACTTTTTTCTCGCCCGCCCACGCAGCTTCGCCTCGCCCGCACGCACGACACGCACGAACACGAAACCGAAACCCACTTCGATCTCACCCCCTACCTCCGATCGCTAGATTGTCGGCTTGACCGTCCTGCCGTTCGGCCTGCATACCAAGCTTCAAGGACCAAGGCGCATGGCGCGAAGCGCCAATGCAGTCTTGCATCTACACATATATACATACTAGTTCCCCCATGGGGGTCGACGATTCTTGCTTATTGGGGCTCTATTAGGGTGCCCCTTGGGGGCATCCTGGGGGTCTCTTCGGGGCCTCTCGGGGCCTCTGGGGGGCCTCTTGGGGCCTCCTGGGGACATCGTGGGGCCTCCTGGGGGCCTGTGGGGCCCCTCTGGGGCTCGTCCTGGGGTTCGCTTGGGCTGTCGTGGGGGCCTCTCGGGCCGTTTTGAGACCCTCTTGGGGTCGTCTTGGTGCCTTCTTGGGTGCCTGTGGGGCAGTCTTGTGGGCTTCCTGGGCCGTCTTGGACGCAGCGGAAGCCCAAACGGCAAACACGCCAAACACATCAGTTGCCCCATCGGACACCGACGATTGTTGCGCATTGGGGCTCTATTGGGGTGCCCCTTGTGGCGTGTTCGGGCACTTTTTTTCCCCACATGTTTCTTTGGGTTCTGGTCTTCGTCCCTGCCGCGTCGCACCCGCGACCCTCACCCCACCCCCTCCTCTTTCTCATTTTCCCACAGCGCAACACAGCTCAGCACAGCTCAGCACTGCATAGCACCTCGACACACAGCTCAGCTCAGCACAACACAGCACAGCACGACGGTCGTCCAGGGCACAGCAGGCGTGGGGTTTTGTCGGCACCATAAGGGGAGTGCGCACGGGGTGGTCCCTGAGGGCGGTCGCTATGCGTGCCAGGGTCGGAGAATGTGGCGGGCGTGACACTATGTCGCCACCAGAAGGGGTGCGCGCAGGGTGGTCCCTGAGGGCGGCCGCTATGCGTGACGGTCGCCCAAGGCGCAGCAAGCGTTGTATTTTCTCGACACCATATGGGGGTGCGCACGGGGTGGTCCTTGAGCGCGGCCGCTATCCGTGACGGTCGTCCAAGGTATAGCAGGCTTGGCGTTTTCTCGGCACCACAAAGGGGTGCGCACGGGGTGGTCCCTGAGCGCGGCCGCTATGCGTGACAGTCGTCCAGGGCACGGCACGCGTGGCGTTTTCTCGACACCATATGGCGGTGCGCACAGGGGTGGTCCCTGAGCGCGGCCGCTATGCGTGACGGTCGTCCAGGGCACAGCAGGCGTGGCAGATTCTCGACACCGTGGGGGGTGCGCACGGGGTGGTCCCTGAACGCGCCCGCTATCTGTGACGGTCCTCCAGGGCACGGCACGCGTGGCGTTTTCTCGACACCGCAGGGGGTGCGCACGGGGTGGTCCCTGAGCACGGCCGCTATCCGTGACGGTCGTCCAGGGAGCAGCAGACGTGGCGTTTTCTCGACACCACAAGAGGTTGCGCACGGGGTGGTCCCTGAGCGCGGCCGCTATCCGCGACGGCCGTCCAGGGCACGGCACGCTTGGCGTTTTTTCGACACCACAGGGGGTGCACACGGGGTGTTCCTTGAGCATGGCCGCTATCCGTGACGGTGGTCCTTGCCACAGCAGGCGTGGCATATTCTCGGCACCACAAAGGGGTGCGCACGGGGTGGTCCCTGAGCGCGGCCGCTATGCGTGACAGTCGTCCAGGGCACGGCAGGCGTGGCGTTTTCTCGACACCACACGGGGTGCGCACGGGGTGGTCCCTGAGCGCGGCCGCTATGCGTGACGGTCGTCCAGGGCACAGCAGGCGTGGCGTTTTCTCGACACCACAAGAGGGTGCGCACAGGGTGATCCCTGAGCGCGGCCGCTATCCGTGACGGTCGTCCTTGCGGTATCGGCGGGGCAACGGCCCCCAACATCATTCTCACATGCTTCACTTCAGCTTTCATCATTCCAGCCATACAATAAGTATGTGGGGTTCGTCGGTCGCGTAATTGTGTGTTTGCGTCTCTGGGGGGCCTCTTGGGGCTTCTGCGGCGCGTCTTGGAGCCTCTTGGGGTCTCCCGAGGGCCGGGCGTCGTTGAGCGGCTTAGACGTTTC